AGAAAGAAAGAAAGAAAGAAAGAAAGAAAGAAAGAAAGAAAGAAAGAAAGAAAGAAAGAAAAAGAGAGGAGGGAGGGAGGGAGGGAAGGAAAGAAGGAAGGAAGGAAAGAAAGAAAGAAAACAGAAAAGAAAAGAAGGAAGAAAACAATCTTTCTAAATACAAAAAGAGGAACTCAGGACATTAAGATTGTAGATTGCCAAAATGTTGACTAATATAATGACTATTGCACATGGTGTACAGACTAGCTTGAATACTTAGCGGACATATGATACTATTGTTGACTGCCTCATGTTCAGAACCTGTGTCTGTTGTGATCAGCTCAGATGGGCATGGAAGGGCTGCAAAGCCCACATTTGTGGACCTTTTTTGTTTTTAGGCTTTTTTTTGCAGTAGGCTGGGATGGAACCCAAGGACTTATGCATGAAGGAAACTTTCTACCATGGAGAAAAATCCCCAGCTCCGGGCCAGCATTTAGGAGGTAACTTGCAACCAACAGTATTGGGTGAAACTTTCTCTCTTAAAAAGATTATATAAATTCTAATATTAAAAAAGAGGTTGTTCTGGCTGGGCACCAGTGGTTCATGCCTGTAATCCTAGCTACTCAGGAGGCTAGATCTGAGGATTGCAGTTCAAAGCTATCCTGGGCACGAAAATCTGTGAAGCTCATATCCAATTAACTACCAGAAAACTGGAAATGAACGTGTGGCTCAAGTAGTAGGACAGTTGCCGTGAATAAAAATGCTCAGGGATGTGGATAAGATGGGAGGAAAAAACTGGAAGAGAGCAAGGGAAGTGGTGACATTGTCGAAAAGGAAATGTACTGTTTGCTGACTTATGTAACTGTAACCCCTCTGATTTAGCATTTTCAAATTAGAAAAAAAAAGCTCAAAGAAAGCACCCATACCTGAGTTCAAACCCCAGGACCAGTGTGTGTATGCATGTGCGTGTGCATGTGTGTGTGCTCACGTACACACACACACACACACACAATATCCATTTAAATCTTCACAGCTGGAGGTTTGCCTTTCTAACTTGTGTCCTTTATAGACACAGCCCACACAATGGTAAGAAAAGAACATTGTGTGGCCTCCAGGGACATTCACCATACATACGTGTTAGCATATGAAAGATTCTGAAAAGTCCCACAGTAAAGAAACTGGTTTCTTTTTTCTTTTTTGGTATGACTTTACACATTTATCTGATCACAAACACAACCTGCAGTCCTCAATTTCCCTTGTGGCTAAGGGCACCCTTGGGATTAGTTAGGGAGTAAATAAAATGAATCTTTGTTTTCAACAGCCTCCCAACACATCTGAGACTGCAGGAGCCACCCCCACACCTTGAGCCTTAGTCCTCGCTCCCCTTCTCTAATGGCCTGTGTACCTTCCTGAACCCTAGGATTCCCAAGCCTCTGTGGGGAGGTCAGCTGTCACAGCAGACAAATGGACTGAGTTGAATGGATTGCTACCAGGAGAACTGACACCATTCTTAGGACTTAGTCAATGAACTGCTTCTCTCACTCCAGATGGAAGGAAGGGGTAGAGTTCTAGGAGCTTCCAATTCCTTGCCTTCCTTTCTGGGAACTGAAGGCAATCTTTCTTCTCTTTTAAAATGGGTGCCCATGTGAGAAAAGAAAAACAAATAAAATATCCAGCCAGGCACCAATGGCTCCCACCTGTAAATCTAGCTACTCAGGAAGCTGAGATCTGAGGATCATGGTTCAAAGCAGCAAAGCCCATGAGACTCTTATGTCCACATAACCAACAGAAAACTGCAAGTGGTGCTGTGGCTCAAAGTTGTAAAGTGGTAACCCTCAGCAAAAAAAAAAAAAACAACTTAGTGACAGCACCCAGACCCTGTGCTCAAGCCCCAGAACCAACGCGCGCGCATGCGCGCGCGCACACACACACACACACACACACACACACACACGCACACACACACACACGCACACACACACACGCACACACACACACCTCCATTTCCCATAGCATTTCACATGATTCAGCTCCACCTAGGGCCATCCCCAAAGCAAACTGTTCTTTCACCACCCCATCCTCCTCAACTAGAACTTTCTCCACAGTTCTCAATCATGCTCCCTTATACCCTCAACACAAACACTCCTTTTAAACCCAGCTAAACCAAAACATTTCCCCCTTTTAGCCAAAGCAGCTTGGGCCACCCCCCAGGGGCCATGTCAGTCCCTCTGCAGGCAAAGCAGCACAAACTGGGCCCAGCTGAGCAGGAGAGAAGAGGTGAGGAGAACGGTAGTCTTGCGGCCCAAGGCTCCAACTCCCCGGGAAGGAAGGCGGTCAGACAGCGATGAGTTGGCCCCAGTCCTGTTGGTCACCTCCTCCACGGGGACCCTCGGGGCCAATAGCCTGGAGAGGAGGCTGCTGAACCTGCTCACGGTGGTGGCCACGGGTTCTGGGGAAGGGCCTGGACTAGACACGGTGAAGTTCACATCCTCAGGGTCCTCACACAGACCATCCGAGGAGCGTTCAAAGGCCACCTGGCTGAGATCCAGTCCAGCCACAGAGCCTGGGGAGGCACATGGCACATCGGCCACATGCCCAGAACCCTGGATCCAATCCCGCAGCCACTGCAGGTGGCAGTCACAACGCCACGGGTTGCGGAAGAGAAACAGGCGACCTAAGAAAAAGCCTGGCTGGAAGGCTGCCCAGGAGAGCATTGTGAGATGATTGCTATTGAGATGCAGAGCCAGGAGGCTCGAGAGGTTCTGGAAGGTTCCCTCCTCCACGAAGGCAATGCTGTTGCGGTCTAGGTAGAGCAGCTCGAGTTCCAGCAGATCTACAAACCAGGCGCGTGCCACATGACCCAATGCATTCCCTCCCAGATTGAGTGTGCGCAGACGGTGCAGGCCGCGGAAGGCATCTGGTGGCAGCTCGGCCAGCAGGTTATCATTGAGCAGCAGGTGCTCCAGGATGCCACAGTCCCCAAAGGCTCCAGCGTGCACAGCCCGCACACGATTGCCCTGCAGGCTGAGTGATCTCAGAAGCCGCAGGCCCTGCAGCGAGCTGGAGGCCACTGCCTCGATGCGACTGCGCTCCAGGTACACGTGAGTCAGATTGGCCAGGCCACGCAGTGCGCCAGGCACGCGACGGAACAGGTTATCAAAGGCAGTGAGCTCCCGCAGGGCCGGCAACTCCACCAGCAGGCGCTCAGGGACGCTGAACAGGCGACAGGAGGCCAGATCGAGGCGGCGCAAGCGACCCAATGTGGCAAAGGTGCGCGCATGCAGATAGCGCAGATCGCCGTTGTGTGCCAAGCGTAGCTCAGCCAAACGTGGCAGGCCTTTGAAAGCGCCAGGGGTGATGAAGGACAGATTGTTATGGCGCAAGGATAGGCGACGCAGTGAGGGCAATGTGCCAAAAGCCCGCTCACCCAAGATTCGCAAGCCATTCCGATCCAGGTCAATGGAAGCCGCCTCGCATGGGAACTCAGCCGGTACCCTCAGGAGTCCTGCACGATCACAGCGCACAGAGCAGCCATGCTCTACACTGCTGCAGGTGCAGGAGGCAGGACAGGCGCGCTGGCAATTCTCAATGGCTAGGGTGCTGTGCAGGCCAAGGACCACCACTAGGGGGAGGAGGGGGACAGGAGGGAGAAAAAAAAGATTAACAAAGATCACTTCAGGCTGGGTGCCCCGTGGCTCACACCTGCAAGTCCTGGCCTCTCAGGAGACTGAGATCTGAAGATCACAGTTCGATGCCAGGCTGAGCAGGAAAGTTCATGAGACTCTTACCTCCAATAAACTACTCAACACACACACACACAAACACCAGAGAGCACTAGTTTTGAGCAGAAAAGAGCTCAAGGATAGTGCCAAGGGCCCTGAGTTCAAGACTTGGTACCAGCACACACACACACACACACACACACACACACAATCACCCCAGAATCAGGATGCAGGCTCTTCACCAACTTCTGTGCCCTGCAGATGTCCTCCTCACATCTCCCTAAACTGAGGCAGATTTCTCCATCTATAACACCCTCTCCTTGGCTTTCCAGTTTACTTCATCACCAAAACCTATGCTGTAATCACTTCATTGGACCCATTCTAAACTCCCTCCTATCTGTTTGATTCTGTGTGTGTGCGCGCGCACGCACGCACGCGTGCATGTGCATGTTGGTAGTGGTTGTTGTGAGGCTTGAACTCAGGGCCTGGGCACTGTCCCTGAACTCTTTTGCTCAAGGCTGGTGCTCTACCACTTTGAACCCAACACCACTTCTGTTTATTTTTGTTTTTTTGTAGGGTTTTTTTTTTTTTTTGGTCATAGGGTCTGAACTCTGGGCCTGCGTGCTGTCCCTGAGCTCTTCAGCTCAAGGCAAGCACTCTAACACTTGAGCCACAGTGCCACTTCCATATTTCTGGTGGTTAATTGGAGATAAGAGTCTCATGGTCTTTCCTGCCCAGGCTGGCTTTGAACCATGATCCTCAGATCTCAGCCTCCTGCATAGCTAGGATTACAGGCGTGAGCCACTGGCACCCGGCTGCAAATTATTTAAAAAATAAATCCCTTCTCTCTTTTTTTTTTTTTTTGTTGGTCGTGGGGCTTGAACTCTGGGCCAGGGCGCTGTCCCTCAGCTCTTTAGCTGAAGGTGAGCCACTAGAGCTATGGCGCCACTTCCGGTTTTCTGGTGGTTTATTGGAGATAAGAGTTTCACGGACTTTCCTGCTAATCCCTTCTCTTTTTGATGAAGCCTCAAACACCTCTGGTATGTGGCTATCCAATTTATGAATGTATCTTCTCAGGTAAACACTTTTAAACTTTTTTTTTAAAGGAAATTATCCTACAGGGCACCAGTGGCTCATGCATGTAATCCTAGCTACTCAGAAGGCTGAGATCTAAAGATCAAGTTTTGAAGCCAGACCAGGCAGTAAAATTTGTATATTCTCATCTCTAATTAACTAGCAAAAAAGCTGGAAGTGGAGCTGTGGCTCAAGTAATAGAGCACTAGCCTTGAGCAAAAAAGATGAAGCAGCTGAGCGCTGGTGGCTCATGCCTGTAATCCTACCTAATCAGGAGGCTGAGATCTGAGGATCACAATTCAAAGCCAGCTGGGGCAGGAAAGTCCGTGAGACTCTGATCTCCAATTAACCACTAGAAAACCGGAAGTGGCGCTGTGGCTCAATCAGTAGAGTGCTTGCCTTGAGCTGAAGAGCGCAGGGACAGCACCCAAGCCCAGAGTTCAGGCCCCACGACTGACAAAAAAAAAAAAAAAGATCAAGCACCCAGCCCAGGCCCTGAGTTCAAGTCCCAGGACTGGCAAAAGAAAAAGAGAAAAGAAAAACAACAATGATCTTGTCCATGTAATTGTAACCCCTCTGTACAATATTTTCACAATAAAAATAAAAAGAAAAGAAAAAGAACAATGAGGCCATATGACAGTAGAATGAAATCTTTAACTTTAGCACCATCATGTTTAAAAAAAAAAACAACTCTAAGTGCTGAAAGGAAAGGAAATACTAGAAGTTTATAATTCTATATCCAGTGAAAATACCTCCAGAAATAACAGAAAATATACTTTAACCAACATCTACAACCAAAATCAGAGAAAATTCATCTCCAAGAGACCTTTGGCCTGAAAGAAAATGATAGTACCAGAAAATACTGGCTTATGGCTGTAATCCTAGCCCCTCAGCAGAGCTGAGAGATGAGAACTGACAATAGCAGTTTGAAACCAGCCCTGGCAGGAAGGTCTGTGAGACTCATCTCCAATTAACTACCAAAAAGCCAGAAGTGAAGCTGTGGTTCAAGTGGTAGAGTTCTATCCTTGAGGGAACAAAAAGCTCAGGGTCAGAGTTTAGGCCTTGAGTTCAAGCCACAGGAATAGTACAAAAAAATAGATCTATAGGAAAGAATAAAGAACAATGAAAATTGTAAATTAAATACAAAAGATTATCCTTTGCAGCAAGAATAGCAATATAGCCAGAAGCTGGTGGCTCACACCTATAATCCTAGCTACTAAGAAGGCTGAGATCTGAGGAATGCAGTTCAAAGCCAGCCCAGGCAGAAAAGTCCCAAGAGACCAATATATTATGGAATATATAACACATATAAATGAAAAGTATACCAACAGTAGCTTAAAGAACAAAAAGGGGGGTAAACTAAACTTACTTTTATAAGGAGCTTACATTACACATGAAGAAATCAGTTTAATTTGTCATGGGAAGTTAAAACTGCATACAATACTCTCTAGAAAAAAGATTGCAATCTCTACCTCACATCATATACAACATATTTAATCCCAAATGCCAGTAAATATATTCAGGAATAGTTTAGGGATTTTAGTAAGATATGTTGTCTGGGTGACATGTGCATGCAAAATGCTACCCAAATCAACTAAATTTTATAGGTATTTTTGAATCTCCCCAATTTTTTTTTGTGCCAGTCCTGTGGCTTGAACGCAAGGCCTGGTCACTGTCCCTGAACTTTGTTGCTCAAGGCTAGTGCTCTTCCACTTGAGCCACAGCTCCACTTCTGGCTCTTTTTTATTGTAGTAAATAAGAGATAAGATTGTCACTGACTTTCTTGCAGGGTCTGGCTTCCAACAATGAACCTCAGATCTCAGCCTCCTGAGTAGCTAGGATTATAGGTATGAGCCACTGCACCTGGCTTCCTAATTAATTTCTAGTAGTGTTTGCTCAAGCCTGGGATTGCTACATGTATTATTTCATTGACTATGACAGTCCTGCAAGTACTATTCTTTCCTCACAAAAGAGGAAAAAACTGAGGCTTGCAGTGGTTAAATGATACCAACTTTTGTTTATCTTTCCACTATACTGGACTGTCTCATGCCTCACATACCTGACACTCTAAAGCTCCCATTTCTTTCACTACAAACGGAAGGAACTAATTTTACTCCCTGACCTTTGAGCTGGACCTTCTGGCTCTCATTTGCCATGGATCCACAGCAGCTGTTGCCAACCATTGCTTCTAAGAAAAAATAACCCAGTCAGGAGTCCCAAGTGTCTCTCTGCAGCTTCCTCCTGGCAACAGCTGTTTGCACCATGAGTGAACACTTTGATCTAAGCAGAGCTAATCACACTCATTCCTTCTCCATAAAAATGAAATAAGCATGGAACCCCTGGTCAGTGAGCTCATAAGAACATAAACCTGTGTGGGATCAAGGCTGGATTTGTACCCAAGCCACAGGCAGCTCAAAAAGTTATAGCCCAGCAGTAGTCAGGGGTAAGATGAAGAAGCTGGTGTACAGTGAGAAATATCACAATATCATAAACTAGGAGCTTATAAATAAATTTATTTCCCACAGTCCTGGAGACTAGCAAGTCCAAACTCAAGGCAGATTTGGTGACTGCTGAGGACTTGCTATCTGGTTCATTGTCAGCCATCTTCTTGCTGTGTCCCCACATGGCAGAGGGGAATAGAGGAGCTCAGTAGAGTCACTTCAATAAGAGAACTAATTCCACTTATGAAGGTTCCACCCTTATGATCTTTCACCTCCCCCAAAGACACAACTCTTTTTTTTTGCGCCATCCTGGGTTTTGAACTCAGGACCTGTGTATGTTCCCTGAGCTTCTTTGCTTAAGGCTAGTGCTCTACCACTTTAAGCCACAGCATCACTTCTGATTTTCTGGTGATTAATTGGAGTTAAGAGTCTCATGGACTTTCCTGCCTGGGCTGGTTTTGAACCACACTCCTCAGATCTCAGCCTCCTAAATTCCCAGGATTACAGGTATGAACCGTTAGCACCCAGCCTAAGATCCAACTCTTAATACTGTCACCTTGGGGATTTGAACATATGAATTAAGGGTGAGGATCACAAACATTCAGCACAAGCAGAGAAAGCAATAGCTCTGACATGAAAATGGCAGAAATGGGGCTCATGAATCCCCGAGAGAGAGAGCAGAAAGTAGCTCTCTAGTTCCTATGAGGTCTTGCCTGAGTTGTTTCTGTGACATTTTCCTATTCCTGTTTGGGAAATCCACTCAAACTATTTACACAAATGAGCGAATTTCTATCCCTTGCAACCAAATCACTGCTGAATTAACACTTTTTGAAAAATTAAACATTGTTATTATAAAGGTAATGTTCAGAGAGGTTACCATTTCATAAGTCAGGTAAAGAGTACATTTATTTTTGGGCAATGTCACCTCTTCCTTTGCTCCCTCCCAGTTTGTCTTTCTTCTCTCCTACCACAAGTTGTGTAGTTCATTTTCAATAACATAGTGGGGGGGGGGGAGGATTGGCCCAGGGCAGAAGGGGGCATTTTTCGGTTTTTGCTGGTCCTGGGGCTTAAACTTGGGGCCTGTCCCTGAGCTTTTTTGCTCAAGGCTAGCACTCTACCACTTAAGTCACAGCTCTACTTCTGGATTCTTTGTCCTTAATTGGAGATAAGAGTCTCACAGGCCAGGCTCAGGTGGCCCAAGCCTATAATCCTAGCTACTCAGGAGGCTAAGATCTGAGGATGGCAGTTCAAAGCCAGCCCTAGCAAAAAAAAAAGGTCCGTAAGACTCTTATCTCCAATTATCATCAGAAAACCAGAAATGGAGATGTGGCTTAAAAGTGGTAGAGCTCTAGTCTTGAGCAAAAGAATTCAGGAACAGCAACCAGCCCCACGACCAACAACAACAACAAAGAAGGACAGGACAAGCCTGATCTCTCCATATTCAAATGAAAAGTGATGTCTTTCAGAATCACTATTAATCATTACAAAACCAAATTTCCTTGTCTACCCAGAGCTGAGCTCCATGTAAATACTTTGGCCAAGAAAGCAGTTGCCAAATTAAAAACATAAAAGATTACAATTTGTAAGAAGAGAAAAGTCAACTCATTTGGCAGTTGCTTAGCAATTTCTCTTCTCACATTGGTATTTTTGGGAAGGATCCATCTGGAAATCAGAAAAGGCTTCAGTGTTTTTATACCCCATCTGAGAAATAGGGAAAAGATGAGGCATGTTCAAACTGGGCCTGGGCTTTCTAGAGTATTCTATCCGAGGGCATACTCTCTCTACCTAGTTCCCTCATGAACTCTGAGGACACTATTTCTCATCCTTGCTCTCTCAAAGTGCTTTAACTTACAACATAAAAACCAGCCTGGGAATATAGCTTAGTGATAGAGTGCTTGCCTAGCATGCATGAAACCCTCGGTTCAATGGCTCAGTACCACATACACAGAAAAAGCTGGAAGTAACACTGTGGCTCACTTGGTAGTGCCTTGAACAAAAGATGATCATGGACAGTGTCCAGGCCCTGAGTTCAAGCCCCAGGACTGGCAAAAAAAAACAACCCAACTCAGACAACTCCTGTCTCTCAATTTCCTCATCTGTGATGTGTGAACAGCTATGAGGAACAGATGCATTGTACACTTGGGACAGCTGTAAAAACATTGGGGCAAGCTAAAAGTGGGCTCACAAAGCCACTTGTCATAGGACTAAAGAGACAGGAACCAAGTAGAAATCTAGTCCAGAAAACAAAATCAAGACACCAGGTTTTGTTGTTTCAATTTTTTCTGGTTCTGGGGCTTGAACTCAGGGCCTCTTGTTCTCACTCAGCTTTCTTGCTGTGGGTTGGTACTCTACCACTTGAGCCTCAGCTCCACTTCTGGCTTTTTGCTGGTTAATTGGAGATAAGAGTCTCACTGACTTTTCTTTCTGGGTTGTGGTAAAACTTGATCCTCAGATTTCAACCTCCTGAGTAGTTTAGGATTGTAGGCATAAGTATGAGAAAAAGTGTTTTGCTTTTATTGTCAGTTGTGGGGCTTGAACTCAAGGCCTGGGTGCTATCCCTGAAATCTTTTGCTCAGGGCTAAAAAGCTATCACTTTGATCCACAGCTCCACTTCTAGTTTTTGAGCAGTTAATTGGCAATAAGAGTCTCACAGGGACTTTTCTGCTATGGCTGGCTTCAAATCATGAGCCTCCAGAGTAGCTAGGATTACAGGTGTGAGCCACTGACACCCAGCAAAACTGCCTTTTCTATCAAAGTGTGTTGCTTAAAACTTACTGCTTTGGCCAGGCACTGTTGGCTCATGCCTGTAATCCTAGCTACTCGGGAGGCTGAGATCAGAGGATCACGGTTCAAAGCCAGCCCAAGCGGAAAGCTCGTGAAACTCTTATCTCCAATAAAGTACTCGGAAAAAAGCTGGAAGTGGCACTGTGTGGCTCAAGTGGTAGAGTGCTAGCCTTGAGCAAAATAAGCTCAGGGATAGTGCCCAGGTCCCGAGTTCAAGCCCCAGGACTGGCAAAAATACCAACCTTAAGCAAGAAAGCCAAGCAAGAACAGAAAACCCTGAGTTCAAGCCCTGGTACTCACACACCCACACCCACACACACCCACACCCACACCCACACACACGGAATTAAGCCAGGCACTGGTGGTTCACACCTGTGATCCTAGCTACTCAGGAGTCTGAAATCTGAGGATTGCAGTTCAAAGCCAGCCTGGTAGAAAAGTTAGTGTGACTCTTATCTCCAATTTACCACCAGAAAACCAGAAGTGATGCTGTGCCTCAAAGTGGTAGAGCCCTAGCCTTGAGCAGAAAAAGCTCAGGAACAGCGTCCAGGCCCCCTGAGTTCAAGCCTCACAATGGACAAAAAAAAAAAAATAGGATTCATCTGTGTGGTTAAAAAAATGCTGCAAAGGTGGGGGGAGGGGGGAGTGAAGTTGTGGAGGTGGGAGATGGGAAGGGATGGTAGGGGAAAAACAAAGGAGGAGGCAACAATGCTGGATAAGAAATGTACTCATGGAAGTGGTGCTGTGGCTCAAGTGGTAGAGCGCTCGCCTTGAGCTGAAGAGCTGAGGGACAGCGCCCAGGCCCAGAGTTCAAGCCCCACGACCGACAAAAAAAAAAAGAAATGTACTCATTACCTTGTTCATGTAACTGTAACCCCTCTGTACAGTATTTTCACAACAAAAAACATTTAAAAATGCTGCAAAGTAAGCTAGCTTTGGTGGTGCACATCTGTAATCCCAACACTCAGGAAGGTGAGGCAAAAGGTTGTGAGTTTAAGGTCAGCCTGGGCCAAACCCCAGTGCACACGCACACACACACACACACACACACACACACACAAACATTGCAAAAAAAAATTGTAAAGTGCCCCTGAAAGTGGCCAAAAATCAGAAATGGCAGGGTTGGAGGCATGGCTCAGGTGGTAGAGTGCCAGCCAATAATTAAAAGCATTAGATACTGAGTTCAAGTCCTATTCTTGAACAAAAAAATTTCAATTGTGGATTTTGTGTCCTGGTCTATAAGAATGTAGAGGCCAGCCCTGAAGCTGCAGGAAGGCAGCACTAGCTTCATACAGAATGGTACCTTTTTTCTTTCTTTTGTAAAGGTGATATACAGAGGGGTTACAGTTATGTAAGTAAAATAATGAGTTTCTTTTTGAACAGTGTTATCCTCTCCTTCATTTTCTCCCGCTTTTCTCCTTCATTTTCTCCCGCTTTTCTCCTTCAACTCCCCCTCAGAATGATGTCTTAATACAGACCAGCAGAGAACTTTCTTCTCTCTGCAGTCCCTCAGCTTCACAAATATGTCTTTTCCCCCTAGAGGTTTGCCAGGAGAAAGGTTACTCATGGACTTTCCAACCACAGACTGAGTTTGGAATGTTCCTTTCTTCTCATTGTTGTTGTTGTTTTTTTTTTTTAAATTGTGCCTCACAAAACCAAAATAGCACAGGAAAATATGGGTAATTTTCAGCTTCAGCAAAATTCTGTTCAGCCACTCTGGCTCTAAAAATTATTCCCTTTCTCACTCCTGGCAAATGCTACTTCAAATGGCACCTAAGACCAGACCCAATGCTAGAATTTCCAAATAAAATTGGCTGGGTGAAACCGAAATGTAGTAGGGCAGACCATGCCATGGCTTCTAGCCACACATCATACAATGACATTTTGTGATAGGATAAAAGAACCCTGGGCTTCCAGCTATATTACCAGCCCAGGTGAAAGGAGTGATGGAGAATTTT